GCTTTGAGAGGGCCATTTATTGCCCAAAAAGAGACTGACCTCTTTCAAGCCAAAGAAGTTAATCCTGTGAAGACGAAGGACCTGAATTCCCTATCTTAATTCACAACCAACAGTGCCAGAGAGCTGCCAAACTTGAGGCAGATGCAGGTAAAAGCAAAAAAAGAAAAAAAAAAAAAAAAAGAGAGAATCACACCCAAAATCAGGTTAAGGAAGGTCACAGTTAAACCCCCCTTCATCTCCAGAGAGCAAGAGACATTTTTAAGGATGGAAATCGGAAAGGACTAACGTCTCCTGAAGACTTTTTAGCACAAACCCTGCTTTTTCACTAATTTACATAAGACAAAAATGAGACATCCCCTCACCCACAAAGGCTTCATTATTTGTCAGCCTCAGACTCTGTAACCATTATTCCAGCAAACATTGGTTGATGTTTTTCTTCTTACTGGATGAAATGTGCCTAGAGGCAACAGGCATTTTATAAATTATTAAACCAAGGGAAAATGAGGTCCTAACAAAGTGGCTGCAGAAGCGATGCAGAAGCACCAAGGAGCCGGTACAATTGGTACCAGCACACTCACACAGGGTCATTTTTCCAGCACTGAAGGACTCAACAACAAGACATTGTCTGAAATGGGCAGCCTGCTCACACGAAAAAGAAAAAGTTGTATCTCAGTGCTTCATCACATCCAGCAGACATCAGAAGTTCAACACTTTAAAGCTTATTTTTGTTATGAAATCCCCATACGTGTCTTTCAGCTAGAAGGAAAATAAGCTTTTTAACCTCACAAGAGATCTCAGAAGATGAAGCAAAACCCACAAAAATAATGTAATGAGAGGACTTTCTAATGTAAGAAGAGTGTTTTCAGGATCACACAGAGTTTTTGAGCAAACCCTTAGCACAGAGGTGAAGCCAGGAAAGCATAAATGAAAAGGTGCTCTCCCTAGTCAGGATTTAGCACGTCTTTCACAAGAACAACACAACCCCTCCAGTTTCCTTTGGCTCCAGATTGGAAAGCCCGTCCTGCTTTCTGCCCGACGGGCACCGGGCCCCTCTCCATCAGGAGCAGGGCACCCGGCGGCAGCGGCCAGCTCGGGGCAGCCGAGCCGAGGCAGCCAGGGTCAAGGTGAGCACTAGGGCAGCCCCTGGGCCGCTCCTCCCCAGGCTCCCCGAGCTCTCTGGGAACACCAAGGGCTCAAACCGAGATCATCGGCTTCCAGGTTTGCGACCCTCGTGCTTTCCTCCACCATGGCGAGAAGCCACCTTCCCTTCTCCTCCCCTTAGCTTGAGTCACCCTCCTCCAGCAGAGTTAGCCCAGCGCAGGAAGGACCTTCCCACGATAAGGAAGCGGGGTTAGGAGCAAGAACTTCTTTTCTTGCCAGCAGAGCCAACCGAGAGCATCCCCAACGCCGCAACCCCGGCGCTGCGGAGTTTGGGCTGCGCTCAGCCCTGCTGCCGGTGCCTGAAGGAGCCGCTCCCCACGCGGGACCTTCAGCGCCTCACACGCAGCCCAGCTGCAGTCCCGGTGCCACTGCAGGAATTACGGCTGCTTATCTTTATGCTGCCTCAGGTCCGTCTCTTCCACAGCACGCTTATGCCAAAGGGGAGAGGGTTTCCAAAGGCAACCAGCAAAACCCCTCGGTGAAGCGAGGGAAGATTCCCCCCTTGGGTTCCTTGGGCTCCGGGCCATGACCCACGGCCCAAGGGTGTCCTCAAACACCAAACGCAGCCCTTGGCCAGGGGAGCAGAGTGCCTTAAGGACCTAATTCCGTCCTCAGCGCTCGATGTGTCCGAGATAAGGTCGGACACATTTATTGTGGGATTACCCGGGTGCCTTGAGCCACCGGGGGCGGGCAGCGGGCTGCATTATTTAAGCGGCTCTCACCAGCCCTGGCTAGGATTGCACAGGGCTGGAGTTACCGAAACTCCGTGATTGCAGCCACCCGGGAGAGGCGACAAGGACCCCGGGGGGAGGTGGTGGAAGGGGGGGGGGGGGGCACCCCCACGGCCCTCCCCTCTCCCAAACCCACCCTCCTCGGGCGACGAGCTCCGCAGGGGCTGTCTCGCCCCCGAAGGGGTCATCACCCCCGAAGCCCCTTCCCCGGCCCCCCCCTCTCCATCCCCGCTGCCCCGCACTCACCCGATGCGCAGCGGGGCCCGGCCGCCGAGCTCCCAGCGCCCCGGCTCCGGCTCCGGCTCCTCCGGCGGCGGCGGCTGCTCCGCCCCGAGGTGGGGCCGCGGCTTTCGGAGGCGCGGCCGCGGAGCTGGAGGCGGCGGGGGGGCCGTGTGGGGCCGTGCGGGGCTGCCCGGCCCTGCAGGTGGCCGCCCGAGCATCCTCCGCACCAGCCCCTCTCGCAGCATCCCCCGGGGATGCTCCGCAACGTCCCCGGGGGATGCTGCGGGAGGGGCCGCTGCGAGCGCTCGGCTGCGAGCCTGGGTGTGCGTGTGATAAATTTAATGACAAAAAATGGAAATCGACACATCCATCGCCTTTCTGTCGCAGCCACCGGCCGCGGCGAGGCTGCTGGCTGCGGCTCTAGGTGCGGGTTGGGCTCGCAGCGCGCTGAGCCGGAGTTGGAAGGTCTGGGGAGGAAATCCGGGTGAGCGGCCTCGCTGCCCTTTATTTTCAGCACACACAGCCGAGGCCGGTGGCAGGTTCCTGTTTGTCACAGAGCGGAGTAACAAACGGGGGAAGGGGGCTCTCGGGGAGCTTTTAGGGGAAACTGCGAGCCAGCCCCGACGCCACGCCGCGCTCACATCAAGCTTGCAAAACACGGCGATGCCGAAACCAAACGGCGTGCCCAAAGTATGCCTCATGCCCATTGCACAGGCCGACAAAGCGAGGCAGATAAGAGGCTTTGCCCGGAGCCCAAATCAGTCACCGAGGCTGGGAGCGCAGCCAGGAAGCTCCAGGGAGCTCACACTCACCTCACAGGGCTGGGGAGCACCGCCGAGGGGATGCTTCACGCTGCTGTCAGATCCTGCCTCCGTGCTTGTCCCAGGGTGAGATAGGTTTCGGTAGGGTTGGAGGATTAATCACCTCCCGCCCCGTTTCCTTTTGGGAAAAGGCCTCCACACAGGCTCCGGATAACAGCAGCGGGGAGGCAGCGCTGACCATCGAGCTGTGGGATTTCCTTACAATGTTCTTGCTCTACAAAGAGCTGTTGGCTGGGGTCACAAATTGCTCCTTTGAACTGGAAGTGCTTAGGGGTAACAAACCTGGATCTTTGCAGTTGTACCTGGGTGTGAAAGGGCATCCATAGCATGAAAGCCTTTAAGGTGGGAGTCTCCTCCGGTGTGTCTCAGGACATCTATCCAGAACTCACGTACAGCACAGCAGAAATGGGTTTCAAGAGTCACCAAGTGCCTTAACTTGTCTTACTGATGGATTTATAAATGATCAGGTCTGGAAAACAAAGCTGATGAGAAGGAATTACGGCCACGTCCTCCTCCTGACTGGATCCACAAAGGTGTGGGTTGGGGATGGAAGAAATAAGAAAAAGTTTAGCCAAGGTAAAGGTTAGTTACAGAGCTGGGACCAGACTCAGATCCTCACCAGCCAGAGGCCTCAGCGGCCCCGAGGCTCCCAGGGAGGCTCTCCAAACCTGACAGCTGCAGCCCTAGCCCAGGGCGCAGGAGAGCCAAGCGACTTAGGATCGTCCTCTGAAGTCCATAATTTAGTTTGTTTATTGAAGAAGTGTTATAAGCACAGCTGCTTTCTGAGGCACGTATGGTAATGAGGGGGGGAACCATATAAATAAACTGGCTCCGTGCCAGAGCAGTGAGTCAGCGCGGAGAGCTGAAATGCATCCGAACAGTTACAGGAGCAAAAAAAAAAAAAAAAATAAGGCTCGCTTTCTGTTCAGGCTGGGGTATGAGCATTGCAAGCAGGACAAGAAGCCAGCTCCCACCTCTGCAGGCCCTCGCCGTGCCCAGAGCCCAGCAACGGAGAAGGTGGAGAGCTCCAGGGCCGAGGGAGGACCCGCAGGCATCTGCATGTCCTCCTCCTTGCTGGCAGATCAAAGCTCTCGATTCAGTTGCCAACTCAAAGATTTGGAGATAGAATAGAAATACAGCTTGTTTGTTTTCTAATGCAGTCAAAATTCCCTGGTCAGGTTTTCATGGTTTTCTTTGGTACAAATTATTAAAAGAATAATAATAAAAATAAAAAGAATGCAAAGATTTAGGTTTAAAACAAACAAACAAACAAAAGCTATTTCAAACCTAAAGTTCCACAAAAAGCACTCCTAAAGCATGCAGCATGTTCAAGGACCCGGTTCCTAGCATCTCTTTCCTCATCCAGACTTCAATGCAATTTCACAGCTAGTTTTGGTCCCTCGGGTTCCTTTCTTTAAGATCACTCTTTGCTGGAAAAATTTAACCTGGGTCTAAGAAGAGGATTTTTCTCGGGTGTTTTCCCAACAAGCAAGTTACTCAGCGTGCAGACCAGGCGCTGACAACCAACTCAGTCTTCCAGAGAATAAAAAACAAGTGGGAAGCTGCAGCGATTGCGGCAGCTCATGCACACAGAAGGAGCTGCCAGTCTTGTGCTGGGGATAAAAATGCAGAAGTGAGGGGATGGCAGAAACCAAGTCCCTGCTCTTCATGTGTACAGGGCTCGTGTGCTTGGCATCCCTGCATCGTATGTGTGTGGGGAAATCTCGTCTCAGCAGGGACCAGCCGGCACCAGCTGAGTGCCCTGGGAGCCACACAGGTCACCCCGTGCAGCAGCCGAACCCACTGCCTTGTTTTCCCTCTCCTCTTCATTTCATGCTTCCAAAGATTTCTTTTCAGGTTCTCATGATGTATGTTCTTCCAGCTGATGGTAAGATTTCTTTTTTTAAAGGCCTCAAATGGCCCTGAGCAGCCCCTGTCTGTGCTGAAACCTGCCCCAAATGAGCACAAGCCTCTACGAAGCACGGGAGCAGCCCAGGCTCCAGCATCTGCTCTGCTGGGCAAGGCTCACAGGAGACATTTGGCAGCACCACCAGGGCTGGGGGAAGAAACGAGCCACGAGATAAGAACTGAAGGCACATGTTGGTCATGGCAATGGGCTGCTTTGAGCACTGGGGCTGGCCCAGGGCAAGAGGTGAAGTGAGCTAGGCAGGGGCACAGAGGGGTGGGAGAGATAGGGACAGAAAAGGGGGATGAAGGGGGAAATCTTGCAGGTTTAACAATGAGGATAAGAGGCTCTGAACACAAATGGTGGGAGGAAATGAGCAGTGCAAGGGGAGGAGTGACCTGGCTGTGGGGCCTGGCTTGTTGAGGAGGAAGCTGCCAGGGACAAGACAAGGAGACGGGGCTGAGATGGGTGCTGTTGTGGTGAGACCACGGCTGAGAGAAGGGTGCCCCAGCACGAGCACTGGTATTGGTAATTCACTGTGAAAAATAAACTCATTCAGGGGCTTGGGAAGTGCTGAAGTTATGGGAAGGCTCTCAGTGCCTTGCAGATAGTTACATGGCATAACCAGGGCGCGACTGGAAAAGGAGAGCTGGAGGAAGGAAATCAGCAGCGAGGAGGCAGGAGGGCACCCAGGGAAGGCTGAAAGTGGCAGCAGAACCATGGGACTAAAGAGGCAGAGGGGCAGATCGGCTGCCTGGCACCCGTTCCTCCTCCTCCCTGTGGGCATGGAGGCCAGCTCACCACAGGTAACGCGTGTCACACCAGCTCCAGCAGCAACACAGCATTAACATCCAGGCCTTACCCAGGGGAAGGACCATTTGTAGGCACAAAACCAGGAGTAGGCTTAGAGCAAACCTCTCCAAAAGCTGGAGAGAGCCAGGGCCAGGCTGACCTGTGCACGTACTGCAAGAGTTCACACCCTTGGCAAGAAAGAAACATTGCAGACCGATGGGCAGAGATCCATGGCCTGCAGGGTTCCTGGTTAAAGTCCCTGTGGTCAGGAGCTGGCCACCTGCCCGGTGCCGAGCGTGAAGCTGAGCTCTCCTTTCTATCCCCATGCTCCTCTCCACCCTCGGGTGCCTCGCCTGGGGCACTGGGTGCTCAGCTCCCAGTGCAGGGCTGCCGAGCGCCCAGCACTGACACCTGGGGCTGGTTTCCACCTCCCAACACTGCACCAGAGTCGAGTCCACCTCAAGCACCAGCCCTTAGCAATCGTGGCTTTAATCCGCTAATTAATCCCTACGTCTTTGCTAATGCCCGAGTCCCCTGTGCAGCCTCTGTCCTGCATGGGGCAAGCGCTGTCCCAGGCGGTTTCTGGGGGAAGCCCACCTGGACAACACTGCTGCGGTCTTCTTCTGCCTCCAGTGTGGTTTGTGGGCTGAAAACCTCTTATGCTATCACAGCTCTGCATCTTACTCCTCTCCTCCAATCCCCGAACCGCAGTTAATGCCTGTTACTTACCTTCTTCACAGCAGGGTGGGGAGATTAATTAGAAAGATTGTCTCAAGGTGCAAACTTTGCATCTGGCTGGAAATTTTGAAGGTCAGAAGTAAGCTGGTCTAACCCAGTGTTTGCAAGCCTCCGAGAAACTCTGATGGAAAGACTTTATGGGCCAGACACAACTTAGAGTCAAGACACAAGGGCATGGCACGCTCCTGGTGCCACACGAACTCGCTGTGCTAACATTAGCGCAGGTGCTGCCATTGGAGAATTTGAAATGACAGCTCAAAGCCACCCTCCTGTGCCAAAAGGGCTTTGAATCAGAAGCAAGAGCTTCTGGCTACCTGAAAACAGACACCCCTGGGCAGCCCAAGGGTCAGTGCTGAAGAGTTTTTGTATGAGAAGTTGGTCAAAGCAAGGCACTCCCAAAGCACCACCTGGATGCTGGAACTTAATGAAGGGTGGCTTTGCTTTTAGATAACACAACGTTATTTTATTTTCAGCTATGCCCACTCCCCTCCTGTAACTAAAATAAGCCATTGCCGTGGGTAATGGTCTTGAATTTTAGAGAAAGACTGGCACGGAAAGCCAGCAGAGAAGTGGCTCCATCCATGCCTCGCAAAGAGCAGAGCCTGCCCCACAGGAGCGAGGTGGGAGCCACCAGGAGGCTGCAGCTCAGCCCCTACCCTTCCCCTTCCTTCTAGGCCAATGGCTCAAGCTGGATCAAGACCTGTCCTCAGAGGCAAGCAGGTTAGTCACAGCAGTCGTGCCCATAATTTGCTTTGATATTTCCTACCCTACCATTAAAAGCCCTTCTACCTTCAGCTGGACACCTATCGATTGGCAATTTATGACATTATCTCCGTGCACTGCACTAGAAACTCATCAGTGCTTTGTTCTCATCCGCGAGCTTTCTCCCCAGAATAAGCAAATACTGTCCGATAAGCTGGTTTGCACAGCGCATGGAGTGTTTAGCCATAAAATCCCCTGTGGCATTCAGGTATTTAACAAGCTGAAGTGTTTAAGGGTGTGTCTGACATTTGTTTAATATACAATTATTTAATGTATTATAAATCCAATCTGAAAGAAACTTGGCCTCGCAACCTTTGGGAACAGAAAAAACGCAAAGGGGGTTCCTGAATCCCAAACCCTTGTTTTTTGTGGGCATTTTTATCCTGGAGGCCCTCAGATGAAGCAGCCCTGCCATGTCCCCACCTGCTGTTTGAGGAGCTTCACCTTCCAGGTGCCAGGTGAGGCTTTTCCATGGAGCTGTCTCTGCTGCCACACTCAGGTCCCTCTCCTCTCCCAGGAGCATCCCCACACTGCTCTCACCCTAGAGCAGAGCCCCAGGAGGAGATTTCCTCCTGACTCTGAGCCCATCCTTACATCAAGGCACCGATGGCTCTGCCTGGACAGTCTGGCTCAGACACACAGAGCTCATCAGCTCCTGACCACAGGAGAGGAGCCCACGGAGAATTTCAGCACTGCAGCCCCCACCCAGACCCAAGCAGCCCTCACCAGCCCACCAGGAAACAGAGATGCCACAGGCCATGCATCTTTAATGCTGCTGCTCGGTGGAGCACACATCTGATAGCCGGAGGCATAAAAGCCTCGCCAGGAGCAGGCGTGTCAGAAGTCTTTGTCCATCTTTTAGGGCCAGATCTGGTTTCTGCAGTTAATGAAAGTCACCCCAGTAGTTTTTGCAGGATTTGAATCAGGGCCTGAGCAGCCTCATGCAAGAAAGCTACAGCCAGGACACAGCGCTGCGAGAACCAGGGAGCAGGTCACAGGGATGTAAATGCCTGCTCCATGCTTATGACTTTCTCCTTCCTAAAAACGGTGGCCTTACCCCTCAGGTGCACTGACAGTTTTACATAAGCAGCAAAGAGCCAGTACGTGGATGGCTGTTGCAACATAAGAGGCACTCCTGCCACCAGCTCCGGGTTTATTCTGCAGCAGCCCAGACTTTCCCCACTCACTGAGCTTTCAGCAAAAGCAGAAAGTTATCTCCTTTCTCACTGCATTCAGCAAACAGCCTAGATACAGCTCTACAATTACTACAGGTCTAGTGTTTTTCCCCCCTAAATTGTTTCCATATGTAATCCAGTTAACTAGGTTCGTAATGATATAGAGGAAAGGAAAGGCCATCTTTTCGTTCACATTCCAATGAGTAAACAAAGCCAAAAAACAGCTGTAACAAGAAAAAGTGCTAATGACAACACACACCACACTATAGTAGTTACAATAAGAAAAAAAAAAATGTTTCTAATCAATACTAATTGGAAGTTTCCTACTTTGAGAGCTTGTTAAGCATCTGTCTCCCCGTTGTACCAGCTAGTCTGATAGCAGGCAAGGCTCTCCTGCTGTTTGCCAAATTCATCCTTCTGTCTAATCATATTTCACAAGAAAGATAAATAGCAAAAGAAAAGGAAAAAAAAGAGAACAAGATGGCTCTTTCTCAGGTGAGGTTGTTCACATATCCCTCATTTTCATAAGAAAAAAACCTCTTACTCTCGAGTTCTAACCAGGAGACTTGCTGAATAACCTGGAAGGGCTTCACATGTTCACTGATGCTCTGCATCTCCTCTTTCCTGCAGGGAACTACCACTGCTCGACTAACAACGATGGGGTTTAATCATGCAGTTATCCGGCTGCTATAAAGGTGACTGCACACATGAAAACTCACACCACCAGGGATGAATTCATTAAAAATGAGCCTCTGCCACTGATGTTACATAAGCATCTGCAACATATGAATGCCTATTTCATTCTGAAAGCATTAGAGGTGTTGACTCATTAGCAAGGAGATGAACAGAGGTACTGAACTGTTCAGCTTCCCAGGAAAATACGAGGGCAGAAGGGAAGTCAGCTTTACAGAAATACAAAAGACTTTGGGTAAGTTATCACAAAGCACGTGAGATGCTTCTGGATTTTGATAACTGCTTTGCACGTAAGTTCTCTTTTAATTCCACCCACAGACAAAAGAATAAAAGCCCAGTTTTAGAAACAAGTCACCCCCTAAACTCCCAGTGCAGAATCCTAACCAAGTCACCGCTGTGATGACTCAGTGCACGTTGCCAGCAGGACTTCAACTTGAGATGTGCAGCACTGAAGGCAAGGGGGTGTCTTCCCACCCCTGCAAGCCTGACCCAACCACACAACCAGGGTTTTTAACATGGGTTGTTCTGGAAAGGAAGGCTAAAAGGGGGATTTGCAATGCTTAACCTGAGTAGCCTTAATTTCTCAAGGAGTCATAATGTTTTCGTATTACCACACCCAAGAAATATAAAACTCTGCAGCTTCTCCACATTGAGGGAGTTCAGGAAGACTTTGGCACTCCAGCCTCTCCCACTAACTTACAGCAGGCTGTAAGGTGCACACAGAGCTCCTCCATCTGTTAAGATGCTTTGACATCAGCGTTTAATTATTTCCAAGGGGGTTCTTGCAGGAGCTGAAGCCTGAGACATTGGTCTGCCTCATGCTGACAGACCTCTACATCCAGCTTGGACAAAGGCTCTCAAAAAAAAAAAACCAAACAAAACAAACAACAACAACAAAAAACAGCCCCTCAAGCTCCCAAAGTGTGTCGATTTAGCTACCTAGCTCTTCCTCAGAAGCCCTTGCTCAGCATTTCAGGGCTCTATCACAGAGCACAAAATAGTACAGCTAAGCTTCTTTGGTAAGGTCTTAAATTTTCTTGATAATGGTGTTTTAGAGGCACATGGAAAGGTTGAAAGGCATCAGCGAAGCCACCAGAAATATGTAAGTCTGGCAGCTGTAGCAACTGCTCTCAGCAGAAGTGATTTTCCTTGCCATGCTTTAAATCACACTCCAAGAAAAAGCAGTGATATGTGGGCTAGGGGAATCTGATGTTAAAATACTGGTACCTTGCATCAACCCCATCCCTGACCATAAAGTCATCCCCGTAAGCACCAGGACTGTGGTGGGAGGTGTGCTGCTATCCATTAGGAGGTATAGCAAGGGGTATGGGAGAACTCCCACCGTGTCTTTTCTCTAATTCCAGCAGGCAGCTCTCAGCCCCTTTCTAAAGATGAAAGCTGAAGTTAATGGGACAAAAACACAGAGCAGCACTGAATGAGAAATGCCAGTGCTGTTTCCTCCGGCTATCACGCATCAATGGCACTCCACACTGTGGCCTGAGGGAGGCCTCAGCTGGGAGACCCAGCACAAAGACAAACGAGAGCTCTTGCCAATGTTACAACAAGAAGGGCAGAAGGTGCCTGGAGGTGCAGGAGCAGCACAGGGAGCAAGCCAAGAGCTCAGGTGAGGACCCACGAGCAGTACATAACCCCTGGGACACAGCCTTATTTATACCCTGATCGTTTCAACCCTGTGCTCCAGGAAACCTATTTGCTGTGAATTTAAAAACAACCCAGAAGTCCACCCCTCAAGGCTCTGAGTGCCCCAGCACTGCCCAGAACAATAATCAAGTCTCAGCAGCCTTACCTCCGCAACAGCTCTGGCTACACCTCTCCGTCTCTTCTTTCCCATGGGTGTCATTTGCTTTCAATCCTTTCAAAGTCCAAGGCCTTTCTGTACTGTGCTGAGAAGGTCACTAAACCAGATTTGTGATTTGAAGTGCTAGCCCCTTCTGTGCCTCTTCATCCAGGGTCAGGGCACACTGCACCTCCAGGGAGTGACGTAGGGCACCATAAGCCTCTGACCAGACACCTCGCTCTCAGTGTGTCTTAAAAAACACAGCCAGACGCATCCGTGTAGATCAAGCCAGCATCCAAACCACAAGCCAATGCCAGCAGAAGGAAAAAAAATGCTTGAATAGTTCATTTGTGTCCTCTCCAGCATCACCCTTCACGTGCACTCATGCAAGACGACAGCCCCTTTCCTCTGGCAGCATCCACAGGGCCAATGTGGCCGCTGCCAAGCTGGAGCTCAGCCAGTCCCTGCAGGTCCACAGAGCTGAGGGGTCGCTCCTCGGCCTCACTCACACCTGGCTGAGCTCCTCCAGCCCCAGCACCTTGCCCCAGCCTCCACACAGCCCCAGCACCGCTCGCAGAATGGACCCAGGCCGGCCTGTGCCACCTGGCACCAGCCCTCGAGCAGCCACACACCGCTGTGGAGGGGACGTTCGTTGTGGGAGGCCCACCAGGCCTCAGAGCTGCTGTCCGTGCTGCCACAGACACTTCAAAGCACAGGAGAAAGCAGAGCTGCAGCAGTTTTTTAGTTTTTCTTCCATTTATCCTCCCCGACCACCCCCAGCGTTCAGCCCAGACTCACACAGCTACACCACAGCAGGGTTCACAGGGCAAAAGTTAACAGCAACAGCACCAGGAGGAGCACTGCAAATATATATATATTTTTAATTACCTAATGTGAGCCTCTTCCAAGCAAGGCAGAGGTAGGCTGCAGCCACAAGAATCCCACAGCTCTGTGAGGCCAGAGACCACAAATGGGGACACTGCTTAGTCAAAGCACCTTCTGAGCCCCACGCTGGGGCAGCTGCTGGTCCCACAAGGCTTACCCCAAGCAAAGAACTAGCGCAGGAGTCTAACAGGAGCAAGAGCACCTGTTAACACCCAGCTGGGTACTGTGCCACACAGCAACCCCAACACAGAAGGAAAGCAGCACCTGACAAATAGGACCCATAGCATCCCACATGCAGCCCACCTCCTACACCCACCTCCCTAGAAGTAGACTTCAGTGAGTGAAATCCAGCAAACACAGAGCTTCTGGAACCCCAGATCAGCACCAAAGCCCTATAAAGTAATACACATTACCTAGCAGAAGCCCCCAGCACACCCTCCCCTTTTCCCCACCTAAAACCCCCAGCCCAAGGGCAGCCAGGCACAGCTGGGCAGCATCCCCTCCACTCTGCAAGGATTAGCAATGCTCCAATCAAGCTGACCATCTAATTACTGTCGTTACCAAGCAAGGTGGAGGGCTGAGTGGTTCCTGCTGCCATGCTCAATTGCAGGTGATTAGTTAAGTTGTAGGATTTTTTCCCCCTCCTTCTTCTGTGGAAAATTCAATTTGCCTTAAGGCAGTCTCAAGAGCTGATACCGAACTAATCCCTCAGCAGCCCAGGCCTGACCTGCTGCAAATTTCTGTGTCTATCAATAGTGCAAAACCACATTCCTCTCCTGAACAATACAATGGCACAAGGATCCACTTACCTTCAAGCCCTGCTTAAAACCTGTGTTGCAGAGCACTTTATATAATCACGAATCAAAAGTCAAATCCATGTGAACCAGCAGGTGAAAATGCATTTTGCTTGTTTGGCAAGCCCTAAAAAGCATTGTTAAATATTTTCTATAGTCCTTTCTTTAAAGGCTTACAGTCTTTCCTTCTCCTCCCTTCCCTGCTATGGGCTTAAATCCTTCCTGCTCAGCAAACATTAATTTTCCTTTGTCCCAAAGCGCTAAAATTGACATCTCTGTTACTCCTACCTCCTCACTTCCCCATACAACTAATTGACCATTACTGCTAATAATGTCAGCAGAGATCTGGGAGGGATGCTTAGTGCTGAAGTACTACTAAGGGAGTACTGCAGGCAAAAATAAGTGCGTGTTTCTCCTTTCAGCCCTGCAGAAACAGCTAGCTGAAGTACACTCTCCTCCCCCTGCATTCAGAAGTTTAAACAAATAATTCGGAGGTCAAGTTTGAGATCACAAGTTATTTCAACACCCTCTTGACGACTCCCTGGTCAGATGTATCCTCCCAAGGGTGAAATGTGAGTGTAAGAGCAGCCTTTTCCCCTGGCTGGGCTGATAAAGGGGTATCGCTGTGGGTAGAGGGAATGGGTGTGAACGTATTTGCACCAAAACCTGGGGGTTGTGGCTGTGCCCCGAGGCAGACCAGCAACCTGAGGACAAGGGTGAAGCACACGGCGTTGGAGTGCAGGTGAAGCAAGCTCCAGTCACCTAGCTCTGCTCCTGCTGAAGCCATCAACACTGAACTGCCTTCACAAGAAGCTAAAAGCTGCCAGGCTGAAGGACTGGACAGGACAGCAGAGGACGTGCTGCACAGGAGACAGCGGGGTGCCTACCAGGGATGCCGGCATGTCGAACCTCGTGGGATGCATCAGAGCAGTGCAGGGATGGGCACAGCGCTGTGCTTGCTTCACCCTGGGGCATGAGGATACCCCTGTGCTGTAGGGGTGTGCATTACAAAGGTGCAGCAGCATGCCCTGACAGCAAAGGGTCTGCACCGCCACGCTTGGTGCTGACACGCACGTACCTGGAGGCACGTGGAAACGTCTCCCTGCACGCAGGCTCGCAGGTTTCACAAGCACCCGCTGAAACGGTGCAGGTGCATCAGCTATGAGCTATTCCAAAACCAAGCCTCCAACGCTGATTCAAAGCTTGGCAGAGCAGGGCTGAGTTAAAAGCCAGGTGCTGTGGTCACAGCGGGGAGCAGGGGCTGGGCAGCGCAGGCCCACGAGCAGCACAACCCTGTTCAGCCCCAGCTGTCAGGCACCATCTCTAGAGGCTGGATAGGACAGCGGGGTGGTTGGTAGTTCTGCATGCATTTGCTGCTTCCAGAAAATGGCTGGTAGACATACGTTAGGCAAAAATGGGAGATAGAAATTAAAAGATGAGGATTTCCAGAGAGCTCTTTTCACTCTGGGTATACCATGGGATGGCACTGGGAAGAGGAAAAGGGAGGGCTCCAGGGGACATCTCGCTGCACCCTGATCCTGGCTGGGAAAGGGGAGAACAGAGGAAGGGTCACCAGGACTCGCTCCCCATCTCTGAAGCAAAGCACTCTGCATTTTTTGTCCTGCTTCAATCCTACATGCTAACAGCTCGAACTTCTTTTTCCAAAAGCTAAACTGTTAAAAAATCTTTTGGTTTAGTCCTGTGAGGAAGCTCTCTTTTCTCTGGAGAGATTATTCTATCTTTATGCTCGGTAGGGAAGAAACTTAAACATGATCATATTAATTATGGTTCCTCGTTTAACATAAAGCTATAATCAAATGACTTATACGTCTAAACAGTTGTGGCAGTGGTATTAAGAAATTATGACATTAAAGGCTTACACTTACATTCAAAATGTTCAAATTATACATCTCGGAAGAAGCTGATGCCACATTTAGAGAATTACAAGCTTTTTATTTTCAAGTACAAACACGAATCTGAAGGAGCAAAACACTTTCAAAATAAACATATTTTCAACTTAATTTCAAGAAATCCTTAGGATGTTAATCAAACAAAACTAGATTTATTTATATTTTTTTGCCTAGATTTGAAACACAGCACCTTCTTTAAAAAGAAAGGGACACCCTGGCAAAAACCTGCTGAGGACATGAAGTCTGCAGAGCAGGAACTACCAAAATTGTCACGTTTGGCAGGACTTCATTCACTCGGCTTCTGCCAGCCTGACGGGGACTTCTGGTGTCTGTGGCCCCAGAGGAGCCGGCCTCGGGTCCGAAGAACGACTTCCTGAGCCAGAAAACCCTGGAGCACTTCTGTCCACATTTCAGGAAAGGACTTCCTTCAATTCAGGAGCTGGGGCAGCTCAAACACCCTCCTACAAAGAATAAAAATAGAAAGCGGTCAGCCTGTCTTCTGCTGAGAACAAGGCCTGGGAGGGTCTTTCTGTGGAAAATACTGAAATCGGAACAGTGGATTTTTTTTTTTTTTTTTTTTTGGGGGGGGGGGTTAGTGTTGTGCTAGGTCTTTATGTGTGTATGGTTTTGGGGGGGTATTTTTTTTTCTTTCTTAATCTCCACTTCTTGCAGCATAGAGACAGTCACGTTTGACCCAGGTCTGCTTCCCACAGGGCCCTGCATCAGCGCTGCCGATGGGCTGTGCAGCTGGGTAGGGGAGAGAGCTGAAAGCCAGAGGTCTGCTTGTTATAGGGACAGCACACAGAGCCACCCCACAGCTGACATGGGGACAGCACACCAAGACATCCCACAAAGCCCAGGCTAGCAGCAAAACCTGCTCTGGCCCCACCTCTCAGGTCTTTGATACCCTATAAAAACACACCTTCCTGAGGGCTGGCTCCTGCTGAGATGGGGTTTGTTTGCAGAATCTGCCATTCATAGCTCATTGGATTTGTAATCAAAGACCCATTTCAGGCCTGCGTAAGGCACATGGCACAACCAGGGCTTGCATTTGTATTTCAGATCCCAGCACGCAAAATAGCTGAGGAGATTGAAGGGTGATATAATACTGTAAGTGCATTTTGAGTTGTGTAAACACACTTCAGGGTTTTAGAGCTCCTGGGAATTGCCTTGTCTGGTGCCTGGAGAATCTGTTGTGTTGTGAAGAAACAGCGTTCACGGGGAACTTTAAACTGCACTTGAGAGAAGGAGCTGAGAGGTAGCAATCGTGAACATGAGCTGTCTCCTCCAGGTTTGAGCATTGTCCCCAAGCCATCATGGACAGCAGGATGCTGGGGACAGGGGCCTGGACATGGCCCAGAGAGGTGATGGGTGGTGGGTATCTCCCGACACCTGCAGCTGTAGATCCTGTGTGGTGGACATCTACTGACTGCTGCAGGTGCAACTCTGCAGCTTGAACACAGCACAGAAGCTCTGCAACGTCTTAATTCTTTTATTCATAGAAAAACACCACAAATTCCCATAAAAGCCAACTGCTTCCTTGCATCTTACCTCTCCACCCACTGGCAGTGCAATGCCATCAGCTGCTCCCACCTGAGCTTGAGCTCTCGCCGTGCCTGCTGCTCCCCTGGCAGGCTGTGGTCGCAGGGAAGGGCAGGTGTTGGGCACAAGTTGTCATCCTGGGGACAGCCCCTGGCAGCACACAACTGTCTTCCCCGGGAGATGGAGAGCCCCATCTCTGCCAGGCTGCAGTGTGCTGTGGGCAGCCAGGCTCAGCTCTTCCCGGCTGGAGCTGGATATCAAAGGCCTGCTGCAAACAACATCAGCGAGAGCATAAACAAAGCCAAAGCAGAGGTCACAGCGGCTCCACAACCAGAAGTCACCAGCGCCTAACAAAGGATAAAAGCAAACCAGGAGCCCCCAGCCCCCAGTTCCTTCCATCTGCGCCGCCCAAGGTGTCCATGGCTGGGGATATCAAAGCTTTCCTCCCCGTTGTTCCTTCCGCAGCCAGGACAGCCCGTGGCCCTCTGCCACCACAGAGCTGGATGAAAGCAGGCCGGTGCCTTTGTGTCTGCTCTGCAGTTCCTGGCATCACGAGACTGCAGAAAAGCCCCTGTGTGGAGAATGGGGCATGGACCATGGTGTGGGGCTACCACAGCAGCATCTCAGTAGGCTCCGACGTGCTCACAGCCCAGCTCATGGTGCCTCCAAAGCAGATGCTCATGGCAGCACATGGTGCTGCTACTCCAAAACCCACTGCCTTGCAGAGCTCTGTGGTTTGTGTTCCTCAACCTGCCCTTTCTGACGGGTGGACAAGGGCAGAGCCCTGCGGTGGTGATGCTCTTCTCCCTCAACATCTCCCAGGGTCCACCACCAGGTCCAGGCCGCAGCTTTATGTCCATTAGGGTAAACTGTCAGAGCCTGGAGCGGAGCTATTTTCCCTCGACAGCTTTTACGTTGCCTTGTCTGTATGGAGAATTTGGCCAGATCACAGCGACTGGCAGAAAAGTCAAATGCCAACAGCCAGGAGGGGCACGTGTGTCCCCATCCTACAGCAGCCTGCCCTGCTCCAGCCACCAGCCCTGGAGCTCGCCCCAACACCACAGCACAAGCAGAAAGTCACAGTCAAATGAGGAACTCCAAACTGTTTGCCATTACCAGACAAAGCTAGGTCTGCCATGCAAGGACTATCTTTCAGGGAGATTTGTATCCTAAATGGGGCTTTTCATGAGAAATCCACTTAGT